TTGGACATCAGTAATAAAGTTTTTTATCCATATGTTTACGAATGTTAACTTATCAATATAATGAACGTTAGGAGACGTCGCCATCTTTAAATGAGGAGTTTAACCCACGTCTCTTAATGGTCCGTAACAAGAGGAGTTACTTCACTCAGTAAAAAGTATTTCAGTGAACATCTGAGTATAATAATACTTTTATTAAGACAGACCTAATAATAAAATGTGAACTCAACCTTTGACAGGTTCATGAGTCAAATCTGGAGCTGAAGGATTAATCCTGAGAAATGCTCGAACATCTTATCTCAAGTTATTTTTAAACCGCGGCTGCTTCAACCAAACCGAAACTGAGTTTTCCTTTGACACAAAAGAAGCGAGGACGCGTGTACACATTAAATATAAATCATTTTATAATATACAAATTGTACAGATGTCATGAACAGTAGGAATGTGGACATATACTCGGGATTGCAAGGGATAAAGAATACTTTTCTTTCACTGCTCTGCAAGTGACAACAGCACACGATCAAAGTTACTCAACATTCAAGATGGCAGCTGAGGTGATCAGAGACCAAAACAAAACAAAAAAAAAAAACTAAGAGTACATTTTCCAGAGGCTGTGAGCTAAAGTGACAACACGGAAAAAAAAGACCCCATTTTATCATGATCTGTTATTTTTACTCTGCCGGTTTCACGTCATAGTAGCACACAGGAAATTAACCACTACGCTTATTTTTTTTTTTTACAGCATCACCATGAACGATTGCACCAAAGCCACGACTGAGGCTCAGAGACAATTATGCTGATATAACACAGGAGACCGTATATTATCTATTTTTAACACCAGAGGGCTGTGAACGTATATCCGAGTCGAACACCGGACAAAGATCTCCCTGTTTTCACGGACGGATGAGTTAACATGGTTCAGCATCATTTAAGTGATGAAGTTTCAGATCCTGTCTGTTTCTCTTTTTTCCCCCTGTAATAATATGAAGTGAGAAAAAAAAAACACAATTACCCACAGTCCCCAGCGTGTACCCATGTCAGGGGTCGGACTGCACCGCAACCACTCAGCCCTAATCAGGGAGAGTTAGAGGCCTGAAGGTCGCGGCCTCAGGTCGGACGGACGTGTGCGTGACCGGTTGCTACTTTTGTCCAGGTCGCGATCATCCATGTTTGCGGATGTTCGACCGGAATGTACCGGGGGTGGAAAAGAAAAATAAACCAGTCATTTCACATGACATCACTTTGCCACTCTACAGATTTTCCAAACTCTTGCTCCGAGCTTTTCTAAAAGGACAAAGTGGAAAATCTCTGTGTTTTCAGACGCCCGAGGGGAATAAATGTCACAGTTTCAGATAAAAAAACAAATAATAATAAAAGGAGGAAGGTGGGAGTGTTGGAATCAATTCATATTCATGAAACTGATAGATGACAGTTAAAATGTTTATCTTGACGCTGGGGAGAATGAAGAAATTGATTAGATCTGATTAAAGAAGTTGACCAGGGTTCAGTGGGGACGTTTCTCCAATATTCTCAGAGATCTTGTCAGCTAACAAAAGGCCTATTTTGGTTTTGCCTTTCATAATTCATATTTGTCACATCTGACAAAAGTGTGAAAGTGACAGCGGAGTGTTATTGGCTCCACAGCAGCTTTAAATATTTCTTGAATAAGTGCTTATTAAACCTCAAAAAGCCGAAAGCTGAAAAAAAAAAAAAAAAAAGTCAAGAAAATACCACAGAGAATATTATGATATATAACTTCATATCTCTGTTCAATATCAGAGTGGTTATTTGTCATGTGCTCGTGCAGACTCCATGTGTACAGCTGTGGGAAACCCATTCCGGCTCATCTGTAACCCTCGACCTTGTCTGCCATTAGTAATGAACTCACGCTCACAGGTCCGGGCTCCGCCATCGGAGGAGGCCGAGAGGACAAGGACCACATGTTTCAGGAGGTCGAGCGCGCTGTGGCCCCTCGGTTTGAAAACCAACAACAGCCCTCGGGAGGTAGCTCGAAGCGTCAGTCAGAAATACATTTTTGCAAGCTTTAGCGGAACAGCAGAGGCAACACAGAGCCCACGGTGTAAAAAAAACCATTCACAATAATGATAATAAAATAAACAAGGTAAAAATAAATCCTACACACATTACCTTCATGTCGACAAACACTTCAAATCTTTTTTCCCCCTCACTGCGAATTCCAGTAATAAAACAGGGGACGACAGCTTCAAAAATACCAACACTGACGGCAGCGAAACTTTCCTGTTGGACTAGAACGAACATGTAACATTTAAAATCACCATCTCTAATAGCAGGCTGCGGGCCACTTACAGTATAGTAATAAGGCTGCACTGGTCACAGTTTGTTATACTCTACTCTACACAAAAAAACATTTGCCATTTTACATCGAAAAAATCTCAGCGGCGGGCGGATTAACCCAACCCCCCCCCCCACCCCCCCCTACAAAAGGAGAGCACTTATTCAGCAAAATCAATCTCACTCGTGAGTAACTGAAGAGTTCCATCTTCATCAAGGTATCATCTAATTCTCATAAAGCAAAAGACACAAACGATGACAAACTGACGTCTGTATAAAGCGAGACAGTTTAAGTTCTTGATTAATCGAATGCTAACATTTCAATAAACCGTTTTTTTTTTTTTTTTCTGATGTGGAAATATCTCGGCAAAATTCTGCATTCTTAACACAGGATCATCCTCCGCAGTGCAAATGCTGCTCTGTGACATTACAGTCGAATCCAAAGGCTATTTTTATTTTGCCATCATACATCCCCCTAATAAGTGACCTCCATTATAAATGCATGATTCCTGACAGATACCCCGCGAACAAAATCCATTAGTGGGCTAATGAGATCTCTACATGGTGAACGTTGCCACCTCCCTTCTTCACATTTCGCCTCTCTTAAATGGAAACGATGCAGCGAAGCGGCGCGTTATGACTCGGTTATTGTCAGAAATGATGTCTGGGTAAGAGGTGCTCGGAGCTGGAGGTAAAATAATGAAGGAAATCTCTACGGGGGATGTGGGATGTTTCTTTAAATGAGCCTTTTCATTGCTTTTATTTGACGCTCTTATGCTCTCTCTTGTCTTTTTCTTTCACATCTCCACCTCCTGCTTTGTCTCTCCCACTCAATCCCGCACATTGGGAGTGAGTAAACACAACATGCGTCCACTCTGACCACGCAGATTAACCCCGCACTGAGACGCGCTTTTATTCGTGGCCCTTGACTGGAGACGTGATTAAAAATGCGACTTTGCGTAGAAATAAATCCTCACCCCTCCACGTGAAAACAAACTAGGTGAGTCTAAACACAAGTTTCGCCCTTGAGCCGCAAACATTCAGCTGAATTTCACATCCTTATCTAACTTGGCTTTGAGTTATGGAACATTCTGTATGCAAGGTGAGCTTAGCACACCGCACCAAAGAGTGATTATCGGCTCTCTTTGAAGCACTTGACGGCTTAGAGCTCAGCGTAAACAATTATCTCTTCACCCTACTTTGGATTGCCTGTCGCAACAAACGCCTTTCCCGTCACCTCTGCCAGCGTTCTCCTCCGAGTTCCCTCCACGTCACATCTCACTATGGTGCACAGAACCGAGGAGAAGATGGTGAAACAGTCTGTGATCACGTAGGACACTTTCCTGGGCATACCTGCCTTTTCGTTGTGTGGATATGGTTTGGATGAGGCAGGCCTGTGTCTAGTCAGGATTTCTTTCTGACTCGTCTTTCCACACTTTCACAAACTGTCCTGCACGTCTCGTAACGTCGATGCCATATCTGGGAATTACGAGCTGAAGGGGGAAAGGGAAGTCCTCGAACTTTCAGGAGCATCACTGCTGTTCGTGAGCGGATCTAAATAAACACAATTAGACATTTTACTAATTGACATGATGTCGCTAACTGCTTCTATAAAGACCCGGCCACACCAGAAATGACTTGATTAGACTTAGCGTCTATTTGCATGGCTAGGAGCTAAACTACTGTATCTGGTGAGCTAACTGCTAACATGCTAGTAAAATGTACGTGTCGAGCCGATGATTTGCTTCAAGCAGTTTGAGGCTTTTACACATTTTCTTCAATTTCCTCAAAGTGACTGAAAAAAAAAACATTCTCAGGGCTAACTAGCAAATTAGCTTGGTCGCTATTCAGACAATAAGCTCACACTAGCATCTGCAAGAATTTGTACCAACTCCTGTCTGCAAACTGTTCCTCTTTTGTGAAAAACAACAGCCCTAAGGTACGATTACTGAATCTGAACTTGATTCATCCTAAACGACTTCGCGCCTGAGAAACAATCGATTAGTTGATCTGATTTTGTTTGAATTGACTTGATTTCACTGCTGTCTGCTTCTGATGTGACCAGGTTTTTAATTGTTTAAAGTTGTCGCTCATCCTTGTTGGCGTCATAACGGATATTCTCGTCGTTCCTCATTAAGTTACTCCAGTGACACCACTTTGCCTATCGCGCCTCAGACCTGCCTGTTGATGATATATACATTCAGTTTGTGTGGTTATACAGTAGGACTGATGTCTGCAATCACATGAAATCAGTCCGAAGCTACACTTTGGCAGGTTCGGGGGGTGGGGGGGGGGGTGGGGGTTGGGGGTGGGGGGGCTCGTCAATGAAAGATGGCAGGTTTGGACAATGCTGCAGCGATGGGGATCGACGCCCCGTTAATTTGGATCAGGGACAACACTGTGAACCAGATCTTAAGATGGGGGGGGGATTTGAGAGGTAGGGTGGGGAATAAAACCTCGACTCGGGGCTACTCTTGAGTTTCCTCTGGGCTCTGATTGGTCAGACTGGCCAGCGAATCTGCCACAATCTCCTTGGCGTTGACCTCCACACTTGCCGGCTCCTCCGCCTTGTGTTTGATCGCATTTTCTCCGCCCTCGTCTCTCTCCTCGTCCGCCTCCACACCGTTTTCGATCACGGCTTCAACCTCTGCTACGCCCGTGTCCTTGTTTTCTTTGGTCTCATTCTCTGTTTCGACAGTCGCAACAGTTTCTGCCACTTCCTGGACTAAAGGCTCTCCATTCTCTTCCGATCCCTCTTCACCCAATGTTATTTTTTCTTCTTCATCTTCTTCTCCTTCATCTGTGCCATTTCCTGCTCCTTTGTCTTTTGTCTCCGTTCCTCCATCTTTCATTTCGACAGTCTCTATGCTGATCTCAATCCCATCATCAATCTTTCCGTCTTCCTCACACCTCGTTTCCCTTTCTTCCAGTGTCCCACTTTCTCTCCCCGCATCTCCGTATGTTGCGTTCTCCCCTTCCTCTCTGCTCTTGTCCTCCTCTCTCTCAGCCTTTTCTCTGTCGTCAATAATCTTCGGATCTTCTGCATCTTTCTCACTCTTTGTTTTCTTCTTCTTCTTGTTCTTCGCCGTGTCTTTAATGCAGTTCTTGTTGGACTTGCTTCGGGGCTTGAAGATCAGTTTCTGAAACATTTACGTGAGCATGTTAGTGGAATGCGTCGTACGTCTTTAAACACGCTGTTAGACACAAAGCATTGGACACAGACTTAATTAAGAATAGATCACAGTGGATTCAATATGCGCCGGGATTACTTGCTAATTCAAATGAGTCTCACTGATGCGGAGAAGGAAATTGAGGCCATTTTGAAGGGAGTTATTAGTGGCCTGAGGTGGCTTCAGTCTGACCGGACAAACAGGCAGAAGTTTAATGCAACATGTCCTCAGTTACTTGAACAACACTGCAGGGACATATTGAACCGAAAAGAAAATCTTGTTAGATTTGCTGAAGTCTTGAGGTTTTAAATGTGTTGCTGTGATGGGAGTTGAAATATCAAGTCAACACTATTCAGGGTCTCAAAGACAAAATCATCAACCAACAACCTTTATCTGCTGCTGAAGAATTCCTAGATCTCAAACAGAGGAATGTTTCTCCGCATCCCTCCAGCGCCGAGTTTATCTATCTACTTAAATAAAAACATCTGCGGAGTTGGAGGTGGGAAACGGTGATGTTGGCTTTTTGAGTACGTGATCGAACAACTGAAAGAAAAAGAAAAGCAGGGAGGAATGTGAGGTACCTTGGATTCCCTCCTCTTTCGGCCCAACACGGGTCTTTGCAGGAACACGATCTGTTTGGTGGACAGACTTCCATCGCTGACCGATGAGGACACAGAGAGAAAATCAAACATCAGCGGAAAAGTTTAGACATTTCAACAAGATTGAGATTATTTTTACATCAGTTTTTACCTTTTTTGTACGATGGATCATTAAAAATTTGACTTGTTATGAGAAGAAAGAAATTTCATCCTCCACAAAAATTTCAACAAAATCTTTGTAAAATTAAAACTTTTTTCTCGTAATATTATGACTTTCTTCTCAAAATCTAGAAAACCTTCAAGTGACAATAATACTGTGTTGTAGTATCTTGCTTTTCAAAATGTAGACATTTATAAATGACAGAAAAAACTCTCATTCATGTTTTTTTGTCCTTGAAAATTCTGCAGAGAACACAGATACACTCAGTGTGTGTACGATTCATTTGAGATAAAACCTGATGTCACAGAGCGACATTAGATAATCAGACGATTGCCGCTCACTACATCTGCTTCACTCTCTTATCTGACAGGTGAAGGATATAGAATCACATCTGTGGGCCCAACCTCTTTCCTGCTGTCATCTGTCTGCATCATTTGCCTCCATTTTGTCAGACGGCTCACACACTGAGAGCACGGTTTTTGCGGTTTTGCCTGAATGTCTCAGATCATCCTCTGCATCTCACAACATGTATTTCTTCTACTTTTCCTTAATTCGACCCCCAAAATAATCCTCCGTCCCATGCACATGTCACTCTCCTGTGTTCCGAGGAGGATAATCTGCACAAGTACTGGTGCTGACAGATTAATCGTGGCAGGAAATGCACATTCATTTCTGAGTGGGCTTCTTGTCTCTCACGCTTACTCTCTGCGTCGGCTCCTCTTTGTCATGAACGGCCCTTTTTTAGCCCAGTGAGCTCCCACAGGCTGGCTGAGTTCTACCTCTCCGCTTTTATCTCTTGTGATGTGTGCGCCTGATGTTTGACAGTTTCATTGTTTGTTTCTGCTTTATCCCTTCAATTTCTCTTTCGCTATTATTGGACACGGCTTAAAATAAGAAGATGGTCCTGCCGCTATCTGACACAAGCCCGACAACACATGCACACGTGCAGACACACACACACAAAGGTTACATGTTGCCTTGAATTAAGCTGCCTGCTCAACCTTGCACGTGAGGCGAGATGGCAGGTTTACGATCGCTGCAGATTCCTAAAAGCCTGCAACAAATCTCCCCCTTCTCAACATCAAATGGACTTGAGAGACTCCCCCAGCACAGAGCTCGCTCTCTAAACCGTTCAGAGCCTCGACACAACCTCTTCTTTCCATTACCTCCTTCCTTCCACCATCCACAAGCTATTTTCTAGGCTGTCAAGGATGCTGGACGGCCTCCTGCCGGGTCTAAGCTGAAAACTAACTGGAGTTAGCAGCAAAAGCCCCGGCCCACGAAGCTGGAAGGGAGAATGTTACTTAAAAAATTACAGGCGCTATTACTGAGCTACTCCTGGCTGTTAGTGTCAGCCGCACTATTTTAACTCCAACATATAGAAGAGCGAGAGCTGTTTATACTGATTGTACCTGAATGTTCCTGATCCTACAGCTACTTTACAGTCAAACACATGAAGTTTGAATCTCCCTTCCGAATATTTAAGATTAAAACTCGATGTACTTTCAATAATAAACATATTTTTCTCAAGCGTCTAGTTTCCTTACGTCCCCTTGTATCGTAGACGTTCACATTTACTGTAGCAAATGGCTTTAAAATGTAATCACCATCTACATTAATTGAATGCGGCGAACGTGAATGCATGCTCGGAGACAACTACATGAATTAATGTTGTGTGGAGCAGCCGCTGAGCACCAGTTAGCATTAATTTCAGACGCTGCTGAGATCACTGACACTTATCCCGACCCCTTCCAGATGGAGCGTGGAAGTGCAGCCTGCAAACCCTCAAACAACACAGGGAAAAAAACCCCCCAAAAAATCCTTGCATTTGCAAATTCACTATTTAAAAAAACGGAGGAGTGAACATCACAAAAACAAGAGTAATGAGTAACGCTAATCTGAAATAGATCATCAACTGTAATTTCAGTTGGTGAAATGTTTTTCCAGGCAGGGAGAGAAACGAGCGCCGTCTCGTACTGTATCTAGGCCGACGCTGATTAATTAGCCATGTTGTGCTGTTGCGTTGTGGCATTTTGAAAGAGTGCAGAGGGGGAGGGATGGTGGTGGTGGGGGGGGGAAACAAAGGATGAAAATAGAGAGGTAATTAATCAGCTGTGTTCTGAAAGAGCAGCGAACATGACCAGTGTTGACTGAGGCGCAGGCAGAACACACGATCAGTCAGTGCATGGAAATGCTACATGCACGTTACATCAGTGCAGCATTTTGTTAGAGGATTCACATAACTCTGTCTCGGCGCAACAATTACATGTAATCGCTCCTCACACCGTTCCCTAAAGCGTTGTAATGCAAGTGAAGGCGGAAAGAATCTACAATTCTCAAAGTTTAGCTGAAGCTGTGATGTTTCAAAAGTGAAGTTTCCTCTCGTGCTTCCCAAGTCAATGTTTCCTTCCCGAGTCGTGGCAGAAACACAGAAAAAAGAGGGAATTTGGGGCTGAAATGTCCGTAAACATGGACGATACCATCGGGTTCTTCACACATCTCTCCACACACGAGGAACTGATGTTGCATTTGGGCTTGTGAGTATTTCTTTAAGACAGACTCGAAGCCGCATCTTCACAGAGTAAATCAATCCAAACTGTAACAGTGTTCACCTGGTGAAGTGTCTTGTTTTCTATTTCTACACGTGTTTAATATAAAAGGCGAGACGCGTGGGTGTGAAGGACGGTTCCAGTTGTTTTAAGGCACCTCTGACAAATCTGAACTTAACTTTAAGTAATTTGAATACTGTGAACTCTACGTGGAAACTTGAACAATTGCTGTGTTGCACTAATCGATGAACTAATCTAGAAGCTCCTGTGCTGCAGTGAATTCAGTTTTATTTATACTTCATGTTCATAAAATCTCATCCTCCTCATTTTCAGTTGCTAAAATAAAAAATTAAAGTGAGCTGCACTGCAGCACAGTGCTCGATGAGCATAGAACATCAGCAGCGAGCTGAGGAACAGATTTCTGTGTCTGAGAACATGCGAGGCCTTTGACCATAAGTGGATGTTCACTCATACATCAGCCATGAGTCAGCATGAGCTCAGCTGAGAACCACTGTGTTTCTGTGTAGAGATTTTCCAGCCACAGTCAGAGCCGCAGATTTTAAACCGTCACAGCTGCTGCTGCTGCTCGGCTCAAAGTTCAGCCTGAACTGATGTAGACACGAGTCGAAGCTGTCATTTCTCATCTCTCTTACAGTTTTTATCTCATGTAGCAAACAGTAAAGGAGTTAGTAAACACTTTAGGTTGTGCACAAGTTGCCTCCCTGCAGCAAAGCTAGTAAATATAAAATATATTATATACTTTTAATCATAGAGTGTCATAAAATAATCACAATAAGAAATAAAACAAAGTACTGTTTGTGTTGTCTTGCAGAGGTTCAGAGGTTACAGTGGGAAAATGCTGAAAATATGACTTATTTATTCTCTTTTTGAATTTATGCCTCAATAAGTTTTTTAATACTGTTCTAGCAACGTAATGTTTCATATAAAGCACTTTGACTTTCATCTCTGTTTCTCTCTGCGACCACGAGCTGAAGAACCAGGTTTTAGAACAAATCCTTAACTCAGAGAGAATGATCTAATTTATATATATATATAATATAGACTTTATATATTTTCAGACGACATACACAGTTTTTGGGTTCAGGAATTCAGCCGAATATTTGACCTTGATGTGAGATAAAGACTTAGCACCATGGAAAAATACCTCAGATATAATTAAAGTATTCATATTATATGCCTATAAATGTATTTACCCCCCCCCCACTAGCCCTCAAGATGTATGTTTTATTGTTTTGGACAATGATTTAAATGCTAAATGGCAGAAAATATCCTTTAAAAGTGAAAACTGACCTATTGAAATGAATTACAAATAGGAAATATTTATTTCTAGGTGCACGTGTATAATCCAGGTTATTAGTTTAAGACGTTATACAATGTTTTTAAATCTCTAGGATGCACACAGAGTTTCAGGTGATATTGTTGTAATTCCTGGTGGCTGCCAACAGGGGTCGTTATTGGACCCTGATTACGTGTTGCTCCTTTAATACTCAAATGAGGGAGATTACCTGTTGGTCTTGATTACAGGAGTCGGCAGCACACACGTGAGTCTCCATCCATATGTAGCAAGAGACTGCAGCAGGGGAACATAATCAGCCTTCACCTGCAGACCCTGTGAGGAAAACAAGACGTCAGCAACAACCTGGACCCACGCGGCTCTGCGCCTGCACATACAGTCACCATCTTCAATATGCATGTACACTGTGGAGCGGAGTGTGGTCAACAACTGTTGTTACAACACATGAGATATAATCAAGCTTCAGCATCACGCAGATCGAAAGTAAAAAAAAACCGTCTCTCCTCTCAGATACGATGCTTGAGGTTTGTGTTCAGCCTGAGACCAACGGAAAGAATAAAAAAACCTGTGACGTGAATCTACTGCAGCTGAAAACCCCGGGTTGCCATGAGTGAACATGAGTCAACATGGCAACCGTGTCTATTAAGTATTCGTCAGTGAGTCCTTGAGTAAACAGGTTGTTCACATGGAACACTTTCATTATTGTTGTTTGTGATTTTCAAGTCCCGCAGACCCGCTGTGTCAGAAACAGAACAAAACTTTTAAATGTTGAAAAACCCACCTGTAATTTTCAGAACGCAGACAGACACACAAACACAATCTATTTGGGGAGGAAGTGTGTGTGTGTGTGGTTTGTAGAAACTGAAAAACCACAACACGTGTCAGTCTCGCACAAACAACATTTACATTCACACGCACAAGACATTTCTTAAGACCAGCAATAAAAAAAAAAAACAGTTTTCCTCACACCACGTCTAAAGATGCGGACGTCGCAGAAAGCAAATGTATTTGAAAAGACGAGAGTGAAATAAAAGTCTCAGCCTTCAGGCCGTTGACGATTTTTACATAAATTCCAGACCGTTATCCTCGGTGGTGCAGAGCGAATCCTGATCTGAGTCAAGACATGCAAACACGAACCAAGCGCACCACCGTGAATATTCATAGTGCAACCGATCAACCTTTCAAGAACACGTCGCACCTGCACCGCTACATTAGCCTCCACTGTTCTGAGAAGTGTGAAAACTAATTAAAGCTGCACCAGCCAAAGGTTTCATGTAATGAACACCCACCATCATCCGCCTCCTTCACACAGATCCGGCCCCATGCTCACCATCGGTAGCTTCTACTGCTACATCGTGCTGCAGCACTGTCCTACCGCTACTTCTAATTCTGCAGCTGGATCCAGTCACAGGCTACAGAGAGAATTGAAAAGTGAGAACATTTCTGAGACAGAGCGACTGATCAGCATGCAGCGCTCACTGTCAGCCATGAGACAGACTTCAAATCAAAACACTTAAACCCACTCCAGCGCACTGCGCCTTGTTTTTCTTCCACAGATTTGTATTGACCGAGTTGACAGCACATGCACAAACAGACCTAAAGCAGTCGCATATTAACTTGCAGGTTTGCAAAGAGCTAATCGTTGGAATATGAGACGTTATTTACACAGGCATTACTTTCTAAGTTCCTACAGGGAGCGGCGCATCTACATTTTTCCGAGGGTTTACGTTGGAACAACTCCCAGAAACACACTCTCGTACTCAAAGCTTCCCGGAAAGTAAATTGAGAAATAATTTTTCTGTAATGGCTTTGCTGTTCTTTGGAGTAGGTGAGAGTTAATCACAGCTCCCGCAGAGAGGCTCAGCGCTCCTCTGACTTATTATGCCGGGCCACCTTGCTGCATCAGCACTCCTGCATCCACCGGAGAGGCTGAAAAACAAGAAAGTAATCACCTCGCCATCTTTGCCGATGTTATCTGAGAGACTTCGCAGAGGGATCACACAGTGTGAAGACAGAGGAGGGGTATTTTAACCATCTTCACACGGTTTAACACATCTGTGCCTTGAGCCGAACACCTTGTTAGAGAGCAGGAGGTGATAGGTAAAACAAAAAAACAGAAGCTTCAATAATTAGTGTGATGGTTGAATAACCTCCTGAAACTTTCCAGAGCGGCTGAATGTGAGAATGCAACTTGTCAGTTGCTCTGGAGATTCAGCTCTTCCTCTACGGCGCCCCAGTAGAAACTCATGTGAGAATACAACTTTATAATGAACCGAGAGTTTCACCACAGCCAAGTCTAAAAATGTCAAGTTGCAGACGAAGATGGAAACTTGGAAGGACGAGGTTCCAGAGCTTCAGGTGATAAGAACCGACTCTGGTGTCGATGTGCCGTCAACAAAACATGTATCCGCTCTGTGGATTCTCCTTTTGTGGTGAATGAGTCGGACCTGGACAATCTCTGGTTATTTACATGTGAAAGATAATGTCTGTATAACGTCTGGACCCAAACGTCCAAACACTTCCTGAGTCTGAAAATGACTTTTGGTGAACGGGCACAATCTCCTGTGAGAAAACTGTGACTGACTGAAATTGGAATAGAACAACTTGACTTTATCTCCAATATTCAGCGCGGAAACTTTTGAAATATGAGGAATTCTAAACAGAGCTCGATGGATTTGTTCCAGCTGCAGCTCTTCTGGTTCAGGACGTGGGGATGAATACATTGATTCCCGTTATTTATTTATTTTCCTGCATAGAAACACTGATTACTGGAACACGGAGCCCAACAGATATAATCACCACATGCGGCTGCAGAGGGCGCTGTCGCTCAGTAAAAGTAACACAAATTGTTGCTTTAACATTTCGGCAAGTGTTCGATCGTTGTCAGAAATATAAGATAAGATAAACACGTGTTGTCGGGCCGGTTGGTAAAGGACGGTGCAGCCGCAGGTCAACGTAGAGCTCATAGTGCACTCTGGGAGTCAGCTCAACAATAACAAAGCTCTATTATTTTTCTATCACCTCCTCCATCCGCTCTGCAGGACAGACATAACAAAGCGTGAATCTGTCTTTTTCACCAGCTCAGAATCCGGCCGTGTGTTCTCAGACTCGTGGGGTCGACAGGTTTGCAGCCACAGTCCAGTAATGATGCAGCAAATACCTCAGATATTCTGATGGGCTCGCTCAACCTTGAGCGTTGTCACAGCAACGTTCCTGCAACCGCGTCGACCATTTCAAACTGCAATTGACCGTTTTTAAAAACACCACAGATAAATATTTCATATTTGTGCTGTTTCTTACATTTATTCCTCACGGTCACTTCTGCTCACTTTTATGTTTCGATTACTCATCATGGATTTTTTTTTAATACCTTCTAATTCTAAATTTAAGGAAGGAAAGGAGCTTCAATGCTTCCTAACTTATCTCCTTCAGTAGAGGACTAGGGAAGAATTCTTATGAATTATATCTAATAGTTAGTAAGTTATATATATATTTTATTTATCAGTTTTAATTTGCCATGAGAGTGGAGTGGCTCCAGGAATGATAACGTTTGCTGGTCCACCACTTTGTCCCACACTGAAATAAACATCTGTCTTCTGGACTACAACTAAACTTTCAGACATTCGTGGTCCTCAGAAGATACATCATCCTAACTTTGGTGCTCTTTTGTGCTCCCCTGACTTTTCTACTGGCGCCACCACAAGAGGGAAATATGTTCAGAGGGAAATATCTCCACACTGCAGGTTACATCGCAGCAGATATTCAGGTTCCCACACGACGATTTGTAATAACTTTGATCCCCTTGACTTTGATCTACCATCGTCACCAGGTCAGAATTTTAATTTGACCAATACTTTGTTTTTCCAAAACTTTCCAAAGACGCCTACGCATCATCAGGGTACGTTTTTCTGGCTCGAATCGTCATCACAGCAGCAATAACAAAGATTAAATAGAAGCCACACAGAGAACGTCCAAAAATTAGACTTTTATGAGGCATCAGACTACGTTTGAGTCAGAACTGAACTATGCAGCCTGATAACACACGATGAGGTCGTCTGGAAAACAAAGGAGCAAGCGCATACATTTGTTCGTGTTCATCATGTGTCAGTGAGAGCTTTTATCACGGAGGGAAAATAGAACAAAATGCATCGAAGACAGGTCGACAACTTTGCGGCAGCAGCCCTAATTATTCTATTCAAATCAAAGAGAGGGCCAAAAGCTAAATTCTGACAGGTGTGGCCCAGAGCTTCTCTCAGTTTCTCTGTTGACTGCTTTTTTAAAAATCTGCCTGACGGGTAGCGAGCTCAAAACCACCTGTTTTTTTGTTTTTTTTTAGGTTAACTGAGATGACTCTTCTAACCACAACCTACTTTGGAAACGAGTGAAACGAGAGATACAGAGAAAAAAGACAACCTCAGTTCAGACCGTACATGAACTGCAACAACACCACGGTGGCTCTCTCCAGATGTTCCTTTAGCCTCGACCTACATCGAGCGACTCTGTAAGACCCTCCATGATGTAGTAGCTCAGTAAAACTATCAGTCAAACTGTGTGAAAATACTCAAATTCATGTGAAGTTCACTGTGGCTTAAACATTCAAACAAACCTTAACAAAGTTGATTCTGCTGTTATTATTTTCCACCTTATAAACAACTGCAACCTATAAGAGAGCTTCCCTCCTGTTCTGCAGTTATCGGCATCATCCTCTCGTTGCCTGACAGAGCGGCCGTGATCTCTCACTTGCACTCGGACGGTGCAAATTACTCCGCTTCTATCTAGGTCACCTCTTCTCTCACCTCAGCCATGCAGTACAGAGATATCACGGACAGGCAACGTGCACGTTAACGATCAGCTCCCTGCACGACACGCAGGCCGCAGCGTGCACACGCACACAGAACACACAGAACACAACACATACTCCGCACTGTGAGCCATGCACGAGGTCTGAAACTAGCAGAAACACAGCACATCTGCATCCTGTGTTCGCGGCACCGACCGCCGAATCGATTCCAGTGAACCCAGAGGAAGGCGGATGTTCACCCAGTGGCTTTTGCGTGAAGCTAATCTCGAGACTCTCACAAGCTGTATCTCCACGTGTGGATCTGAGGTGTCCTTTTCTACGCCTGAAACTATTTCTTCAAAGATTCCTCGCTGCCACACCAACGCTGCGATGTGGGGACCTAATCCCATTTTAGACGTGACTTCGTTTCTGAAGACTGTGAAGTGTCGCAGTTCAAAGCTGGAGCTGCGTGTGGGGTTGAGAGACAACAGTGTCAGCTCTGCTAAGCTCCTGTTACTTGCTTTGACTTTGGACTGCCATTCCTTACATTTCAGCTGCACTGATATTAACTCTAAGGGTGTCTTTTTCTGCAGGAGTCGACACTTTCTCTTTACTCCCCCCCCCCCTTGCACTTTTTTTTCCTGGTGAGTCTTTCAGGTTATGAGTTGTGGAGATCAAGGAGCGAGCGTGCCTGCGACATCATCAAACCGCAGCGCTTGAAGAGGCTGAGAGAACATTTTACTTTACTGACTATCCTGCTGCGACTCGTACAAATAGAAATTTGCTCAAATAGATTTGGACTCTTTGAGAAAAACAGAGAATGAAGCATCCACTAAATCTGCATTTATAAGCTGCACAATCCGTGTACATGTAATACACTTACTAATTTTAAATCATTTTACAAAGAGCAACATCAGGAGACAAGTGATTTTTTATGTTCAGTGCTAACAAACGAAGCTGACTGTTTCCAGGGAGCTGGTGTGCATCGCTTGTTTTCTGCTCTGATCATTTCTCCAAGTTACGTTTAAAGCTCTGGTAACTAACGCACAGTTCAGCCTTGTTTCAGTTCTTCAGTAACAAACGTGCATGTCCGTGTTTTTGCTGTGATGAGGTGTGACCATGCTGCAGAATTTCCATTTTACGTGTACGAGATTTTTTCTGATACATTAACTGTCTTTGTTTTTGGCTCCATCTTTAAATGTTGGGAATAGAGTCCAAGATCATGTGCATGGTCGGACACCGCTAAGGGGGATTTTGTGATTTACAAAAAGACTCTTGAGCCCGAATTGTCATCTTTACTAATTTACTCGTCCTGAGGAGTGAAAACAGTTTTAACAGTCGTCTGTGGCTGTGGAGGAGTTTCGCTGAAGAAATTACAAGATAATTGCTCAAGTGAAATCTCAGTTTTGGGGCATTCGACTTCAATCTGTCGAGAACAAATCTCCTTTATTTTTGACAAGCTGCCATGTCATCCATCTTTACACACTAAGAAACTGTCCAAAACACAATATACAGTTATAAAGAGGCAACAATTCTTTCTCCTTGTCAAAATCTGGTGCCTACATTACCCACAATGCAACTGTCAGTCAGAGATTTGGGTGTAATAGCTGAGTGAACTACACACTCCTACTCGGCCGAGCTGATCAGTCAAATATTCTACACTGCTTTTATTCTGCACACAATCCAATCGATGTTTCCTCTGTGGCACGCATCCACAGTTCTGCCTCGTGTGCGTCATAATGCTCCTTCTGCGGAGTCTGGGAGTGTCGAAGTGGATCACAACATTTTGAGGCGTGAAAGAGAAGATGAAAAGCGCCTCAGGAAGATCAGTACACTCACACACGTTGGCCGAGCTATAGTGAATATCAATCCGTCTTTTAATAAAACACACGTATGTGGACTCTTGTGCACCTTTGGTCGTTTCATCTGGATATGGAACGACTGAAATGCAACACCTTCCCGTTAATGCATTCTGTCCCTGCTGATGAATAAATTCTCCTGCAGCTGCTCAGTGCGAGCAAACGTATTAAAGAGCGAGCGGAGCCGAGGTGTGAAGTGAAGAAGAACATGCTTTGTTTGGATATTGCTCCTGTGAAACTTACTGATAAGGAAAAAGAGGCTTTCAGCACATTAGTTTGGAGGCAGCTCCTGTTTTCATTTTCCCCCCGGACACACGAGATGAGAGGCCGGCCCTAATTGAAGTTTCAAAGCAGAGGCCCTTGATGTGTTATTAATTTTGAGGCTCTCCACCACCATCTGCATGTTTCCTGCTCGGGTCACTTTGCTCAGGAATAAACAGTCGTGTTCAGGCAACTGCAACAATCTTTGTTTTTCTTTCCATGTATCTGTTTCGCAGTCTGGAAGCTAAAACAAACGTATGCTCGAGCTCTTTAGCACCGACGGCATCCTGTGCAAAATACGAGCATGTTTTTAATTTGTTTGTACAATGTTAATTTATTTCTCTTGGCTCTAATCAAATGCACTTTGCTGTGTTTGTGCTGCTTATCTCCTGATGGTGCTCTGCTGCCGTTTAATATAAAAACTTGCTCCTGTCTCCTTTAGATTTATTTCGATTTGTTTGGATTTCCCCTGAAACGTTGCACGACTCTTATATTCACTACAACTAAATGAAACTAATCTTTTTTTAGTTCCTCTTTGGTAACAAACTAAATAAACAATAAGATAAATGTCCCCATGGTCAGTCTCATTGTTGTCCAAAGTAAACAATAATCATGATAATAATTGGATAATGACTTAAATCCTGTTTCCACAGTCTGAGATATGTGTGGTTTCTCCTCACCAGTCTCATGACCACATTTTTAGCAACAGATCCAGCAGTAAAATCCCATCTCTTCAAAACTCTGGACACAATGTCCTGACAGTCTGGTGCAGCTGACACAAACACAATAGTTTGGCATGACCACAAATTTGGAAAATCAATGTAAGCTGTCATACGACACGTTGGACAGTTGTTTCTTGACGTTCACAACTTTTCAATCTGACAGATATTCCTGTATTGTTCATTTTTGTAGCCTTTTAGTTTGAATAATTTCCAACTCGTTAACGTCTCGTTGGATTCCCTGCTCCTCGGGCCGGCTTGTGACAGAACTGACGCCATCACGACACCTCACTCAGACTTTTCACATGCAAATCCTCTGATTAGTTGCATCTCATTCAATACATTTAACAATTAGAAAAGCTTAATCTTTCTCCCCTCGTCAGTGATGAACAGACGCCATCCCCGAGACGACACTCTCCCACTTGACGACACTGTTAATGATTGCCTGCTTCATTCATCCCGGCACCTGTCAGACGTCTGGATGAATGAAACTGTTAAATATTAGGGGGACGTATGTAAAGAAATGAGGATATTTTTCATTGTAGTTTTCCTGGCACTGAAACAATAGTGAGCTGAGAGGATACTTTGCATATCAATTTCAGGCAGTTATCACAATGAATGGTGGGATGAAGGGAGACTGTTCGTGCCTTGTGAACGAGCACGTTGTCAATCTGACTTCACACGGGGCCGATCGCTCGGACGAGACGGGTTTTTGAGAGAGTTGATTGGTTCTCTGGAACTTTTGGGTTTCGGTTCAGTGTCATACTCTGTTCACATTTCTGGGGAAGCCATTGAAATCCATTAAGCTGTCACAGTGCAGCCATTCATCTCAGAGGAGGGGAGGTTCTACTGCCGCCGCCAGACGAGCGTAGGAGTCTTTTTATTGGCACATGTGGGCATTAGCTCTGCGCTGGATCCTCAGAGAGACACATTTTCATGGACAAAAGTCTCCTTTCACACTTGGACAGCCCCGGGCCGCAAAAAGGTCTAAATTCAATTACTGAGATAGCATCGGCAAACACATCCAGACACACAGAGTGGACACGAACACACACAGCAGCTGCACGCACAAACATGTATACACACACACACACACACACACATACATACAAATGAAAAGCAATGAAATGGCGGCAAAACCTTCAATTCTAAAGAAAAAAAAAAAATCTATTTCCAACTTCGAACTTGAGCTGAGGAGAGACACTAATCGTCAGGTGGAAGCGGTTTGCTCCCGATAACACAAGCAACCGCTACACATGTCCTATCAATTGAGATCTGGCAGATTTGCCTTCGGGGTTGCTGGGAGAACGGTTGGCTGCAGAGTGAGGAGGGGATGAACAGCCTCAACATCTGAGCGACAACTGATTTCAATAAAAGTACACCAGTGGATTTGTGCTCTAAATCCATCTCATATAGATGCAGATAAAATATCTTGATTGAAAACGATGATATTGATACGAGCAGTGCTGATGGGTGACGAGCTCTGGAAACAACCGGCAGTCAGTATCCTGGTTAAAATGTTGAATGGCTCCAATGCTACTTAGCTCAGATGCTTTAAATACCTGAAACTGTCCTGGAGGAATCAAACTTTGTCATAAAATATATTTCCTCGTTTAAATGTTTGATATTTTGATGATGATGCTGTTTTAACACCTTCAGCCAAATGGAAATCTCGTGACTGTTTTGACCGTAGTATGTAAAAAACTATTGTTTTTTTAATGTAATAATCTCGATAAACAGATTCTGCATGTGAATATACAGAGTCTGTGGACAAGAGACGAGGTTGTGCGGCCGGAAAAACGTCAGTTTCTTGTTTGAACAATCGTGTAAACAGTTTGTGTGGAGTGAAAACGAGGTGGAACACATTGACCAAAATCTGCTTTTTGATTAATCTGCATCCACATGCAGAAAGCTGTTAATGGAGATTAGCCAAAATGTCGTCTGCACCTAAAACACCTGTTATGGTGTGGACTCGTCATATCGCTGTACAGCAAACAGAAGAGGGAATATTCGCTTTCTACACCAACACCTCCAAATGTCGACCGTTGCCCACAGAGACTAGTTAGACTCTGAGATGTGAAACACTTATATTTAGAAAAATAAAGACAAAGATTCATTTCTGTGGCAGTAGGTCATGTCTGGTCTCCTGAATGGAAGTCAGACCTTCTACTCACTCGTCCACCACCCTGAGCTCTTTACACAGTATTTACTCAGGCGCTCCGCCGCGACAATGTGACGACAAGAGTAAAAAAAAAATCCCTCCACTCACATCGATGACGGTCCACTGCTCCACGACGATGGCGTCATACGTCTGAGTGGCCGCATTCTGCTCGCCCTCGCTCGCCTCCTGGAAGATGAAGACGCTCTCCACCGACTTCGGCAGCAAATCTGCAGGGGAGGAGAAGAGAAAAAAGAAAACGTGAAAAGAGTATTTACTGGATGGAGCGTGTCTGCCTTGTCTCTGCCGCCCCTTTAGGCCCTCCAGGCCAAAGGAAATGGAATGAAATCAGTCAGCCACATTCACACACAACCCTTTATTACATAGCCCGTGGTGTGGGCCATTTGTATGAGCAATGTGCACTTTCTACATTATGCAGGGAGACAGTGTAAAAGAAAGGAGCCGGTATTCCCCTTCTGGGATGTTGAAAAAGAAGAGCAGACATTATGCACGCTACATCAGTCTGGGTTTTTTTTTTTCTCTGGACCCAGAGCCGCTGCTGGTTTTCATGCTCGACAGCTAAACAGAGGCTAATTACAACAGGGAAGCAAGGTGAATGCAGCGGCTGATGGGATTTAAAACCTGCAGCGCTCTTTGTCCCGAGGATCGCGACCGAGAACCGGCGCTTTCGGCGGAGACGAGGCAGATTTTAGCGATGGTAAAACGTAGCCGCCGATTTAATGAAGTCAGTCCGTGAGGCATTAAAGCGTAAATCCTGTTGCTAAGCTGCATAATGCACCTTAAAAAGACTTGAATTAAGAGGGCCACATAAAGACATGGATGTTGATGCTGTAGGCCACTGGTAACGTTGTGTTGCTGCTGACCAGATAGATTTTACAAGCCTCTCGTCGGTTGGAGGCTAACAATCGCAGGGTTTGGCGTCCGGCCCCCGTGAGCTGGGACCCTTCTCCACTCAATGTCCCTTGTTATTTGTTTGATGCACACACACACACACACTGACACACACACAACACACAACACACACCCCGTGGTTCAGTCTTCCCGGCTGGCCTTAGTGCTTTCTCATTACTCCCACACCATTTACACACTAATACAGTTTGCCCGGGCCCAGGCACCAATACGAGACACTCCACATTTCATTACTGGGCCCTAATAATAGGGGGATGAGAGGCGGCTGGAGAGCCGACGGAGAGAGGGAGGGACGGAGCGAGACAGACGAAGAGAGAGAGAAAGAGAGAGATAGAGAGAGAGAGGGGAGGGATGGCAGGCTCTTTATTTCCCCCTCCGTGAAAACCCATTTAGGACCAGTGCACGCTCAATTGAAGACATCTCTCAGACATCTACTGGCTCTCTCAAATACAGACATTGTCGTTGTTCACCTCCATCCCGCCCCCTTTGCCTTTTCTCCTCCTCAGCCCCCCTCCATCGCCCCCTTCCTCCCCGAGTCCAACGCTCCGCCACCTCATCCCTCAGCCCTCCCCACACCTTCTGCATAATTGGAAAGAAGTCATTTTTGTCGGAAAATGTAACGCGCCCAGGCCCAACATGGGTTCCCTGCCAGCGCAACAGGGATCACTCAGGTGAGTTCGACACGGGGCTGAGACGTCGCTCTACAGGGGGAAAGCCTGTCTCTGGTGATAATGCAGACAGACGCTCAGCAGACGAGAGAGAGAATGAGAGAAGCGGAGGAGAAGGAGTCGGTTGCCGGGGGCGTCGAGTCCGTCAGGGGAATGCATCGGCTGCGCGCACGAATAAACATTATCTCGCGCCTGTTGACTGAGAGCCAAGCTGAGCAGCCGGCGGGCCGACGGAGAATAAGTTGTTTACACTTGCAAAAACCACCGTGCAACCTCAGTGAAACTGTTCTCCAGCCCTGTGACCTTGACTCACAGAGTCAAGGTCACAGGGCGAGGCGGGCAGATGTACAGTGGTACCAGGAACTGGGAGTGACAGCACTGGGACTGAAAGACACATCAGCGGACGGTGCAACAGCGAGGGACACTGCTTGACATGCAGAAGTGGAGACCGAGGTGTCGAGTCCGTGTTTGATATGCGTGTGTTTGGGTGAAGACGTGACGACTTTGGCTGGCACACATTAAATCGGTTTGTTCCTGATATTCATGGACATGTTCTCGAACCTGCTGTTTCACATTAGTCTCTAGCAGGCGGCCTTTTGAATCAACAAACAGGATGTTGTTCCGACGAGGCTTTCTGCAGCGAGCAGTCGGTCTGGCTTCAGAGACACACGATCAATGTTACAGGTTTACATCAAGATGCGACTCCTGGTGGAAAATAACACGGGTTCCTTGTTCCTCTCAATCAATACTCAGAACTAATTAGAGGTGCAACCACCCGGTTTGGTATTTTTAGAGTTTGGAGTGTATTTTTCCCAATGTTTTCTGTGTTGCTTTGCATTTACACCCGTATGAAACTTAAAGGAGCTGAATGTGACTTTTAGCTTTTAGCGCAAAGCCAACATTAGCATTGTACAGTTGTCTACTTAATAATCTAGCAGAATTAAATTCACATCAACTGCAGCTAATGATGGATGATGGATGGATGAAAATGAAACCAGACGACCCTGGACATGGTTGTTACCATCTCGTGCATGGTGCCATCATTTGGAAGATGCTAAACTGACACGAATAACAACTTTTAAAATTAAAACCAAGTTTTGTAGTTGGATCTTTGTAAAACCTCTATGAGTTCCTGCTGGTTGGAATCCACATCATCGGACTGTATCTGTTGTCCTCTTACGTGGATATAAAAGAGTGTGTTATAACTTTATAGCATAATTTATTCCGGTTGAATCACTCAGAAATTCTCAAAGTGCTTTCTAAGTGAATTCCACAGATCGGTGTGAGTGTTGAGGTCCAGCTGACCGCTGCGGAGCCGTAGAGTGACCCTGCCCCGGGTCATGTCTGCTGACACGGTTTAAATATGCGTGCCAGAAACTCCCTCCGAGAGCTGGAGACAGGCCGCTGACAGCTTATCTATATTTCAAACAGGACGAGTGGACATCCAGAGAGAGACGGAGACGAGGGCGCCTAATGTGTGTCAGGATTTAGTGTGGCCCTTCCCCGGCGGAGCCAAAGGTTTGGCAGCTGCAGGCTGGTACCTGCGGGTTACCGGGCAGACTTCAGCTGACAGTGACAGAGCGGAGCATGAAATCTGTTGAAATCTCCAAGTGCAGAGGCAAGTAGGCTATGGAACGACTACTTTATTAATATACATTTCCAGAATATTAATTTTTAATCTTCATTAATATTCATTGATTTCCATTTTCCACCAGGTTACGGTTCTTATATTACATGAGCGCAGTCACGTGACGGGAGATGTCCACAGATTCATTCCTGCGTGGCGCACAAACCTTTTTACATTTTTAACATTTCAAGATAAATATATTTCGAAGTCTCAACCGTGTGTGACGGAAAAATCATTTCCAGAATCTGTCAGCGTAAAAACATGGTAAATAGTTAATGCACTGTTTATTGGGTGGTGAGCGACCATGCGGAGCTGCTGGCCTGACCCACGGAGCGTAGAGGAACTCTGTGTTCAGGACACATCAACTTTAGAAAATGAAGGAACCTTGGATCAAACTGCAAACTCTGTAATTAGTGGAAGACCTGCTCTACCTCCTCAGCCAGAAAAATCTCCAGCATCAGATGCATTTGTGGATAATCTCTGAACTGTGTTTTTCTTTCCGCACCGGGAACAAGAGGGGATTATCACAACCCTCTTAATACAGTTCAGCGAGGACCCTATGTTAGATCCTCACATCCACAACTGGGAAGATCATCGATTTCGCGATCTGAGAAGTTTTTGAGCATTTAGCTGAAATAATACACGTTTTTTCCGGGAGGGGTTTAAGTTCTATCTGATATAATTCTATAAATCTGTCTGTCTGTGTGTTTGTGGAACGACCGCTGCACTAAAATGTCCGAATACAAACGCTCGTACACCTGAAGACAACCAGGTCACTTATTTCAGCGTGTGAACACACGTCTTGTTGCATGCGTCCTCACACTGAATCGCAACTCTCGTCCATTTTTGTCTCACAGCCTTATTGGAATTTCATATTCCCTGTATCGCTCTCTCCCTTTACTCTCCCTTTCTTTTCTTCCCTCCATTGCCCAAATTTAGAAAGCAGTGAGGGCTGACTGTCGCGCGTATGAATAGCTCTGTGTTTCACTACTGGGCTGCAAATCCTCATCGTGGCTCTGGAGATAGCTTAAGCTACACGAGTAACAAAGGCCCACTCTCCACCATCACCACAACTTCTTAATAAGGGTTTAGTAAACAAACCCCCCCGCCCCCCACACACACACACACACACACACTTCAGATAGTATGAGAATATGTGTATGAGTGTATTTGAGTAACTTTTTATATATAAAGTACATATATGGGATATTTATACGAAAAACCATGTGTGTGTGAATCCTTAATGTGTGTGTTATGACAGTGGAGGCTCCATGCAGCTTTGGATCTGTATTTTAATATCCCTGTGATGTCGGACCCTGCGGCGCAGATGAGGTCTGCGCTCGCTAAAAACATTACAGCCTCACCACACTGGACTCACACAGAGCGAGCGATGCATCATACAAATACACACACAAACACACGTCTATCCAAACAATGCACCCCGATCTTTCTCTATCTGCTTCACCATGGAAACCCGTCTTTTGAAGGAGCACGGGGACGCGGTGTGTTTTAGTGAGTGTCTCTTCAGACCATGATGGACAACCGGAGATAGAAACGGTAACATGATCAGGTGGTCTGGTTTCTCTGGTCTCCTCTCATATCCAAAGACATGAAGATAGGGGGTAGGTGACCTAGAGGCCGGTCCAGGAGCATCTAATCTCCCCCCACAACCCTCAAGGATAAGAGGTATATATATATAATGGATGGACGGAGGTTTCAAAAGCCTATAATTCACATTAATCATGCAAATCAATCTCATTAAAGGGTGAACTCAATCATGAGCAGCGTAAAGGCATAAAGATCGGTGACATGAAATCATAAATGCAGCAAATAGCAAAGAACCTCATACTTTTTCTTTTCTACAAGAGTTCCCAGCTTGATTAAAAACTTTTACAATTTGTAGTATTGGCTTAGAGCTGCACGGATAATTAATTTCAATCAATTACCGAGTTAAGGTCTCTGCGTAACAGTACGGGGATAATTAATAACTGTCACTCTGTGGTTTAGTTTAGTGGTTAGTGTTGAATCGCAGCACAACTGTGTTGTCGTACAAACACATCTTTGTTGGATTTGGAATTTCAGTGACCCGTTCGAAATCTGTTGTATTCTCAAACATGCCAAATTGGAATTTATAATCCATCTCAGATTACACAGCATTACAACTACTGCAACTTTCCAATCAGGCAGGACTGTGAGATTCTCTGGTTCAGACCAGGACGACGAAATTCAGACATGAACTCTGGCTGCAGAAATCAAATTCACGATCATGACGGTGCGTCGACACCAGCGAGGACTCTTATCACCAACTACGTGCGTGGCTCCTCTTTCTCATCCTGAGATGTTTGTTTTGCATCTGTCACGTGATCTCTCTCAGGTACAGGCCCCTCCGGAAAACTTCGGGAGAATGTCTGAAGGTCAGTGCACCTCAGAAAGCGGCATAAGGTTCGTAACTTTAAAACAATAATAGTCGAGATAAGCGTAAAAGAAAATAAGAAGGTGACACCCAGAAGAACACATGTTTCTGTCAGTGTCACTCTCCGTCAGCCGGCGCCCTTTCGTGTGTCGAGCTGCTGTCAAATACGTCCTTGATGTTTGTCGGGTGTCGATGGTCTCCTGCATCGCGCCGAGCGTCTCGTCCTGATCCACAGACTCGTCTGAGAGAAGTTGCTAAATACGGAGACGGCGGCAGTGGACGCTCTGAGCTGCACGGCTGTTTGATGTAATTAGCTGCTCACAACAAACGGGATGCCGCTTTGATGTCGCGCTGCCAGCTGCTCTCCACAGACCAGAATCCACGAAGTGCAGCGCTCACCTCGGTGAATGTTGTCGGTTTTCTAAAGTGGCTGAGCTTAAGCCGTGAGCTGAATTCAGTCCAAGAAGTCAGTGGAGGGTGAGACAGTTTCGTAATGCAGTCGATCTGCTTTCTATTCTCCTCGGTAATTTCACTGTTCAAGAGACCCGTATCTTAGCCGTGCATGAAAAATGCAAAATATGTTAGAGCACCATAATAGGCAGAAAAAAAAAAAAATGGAATCATAATAATACACTTCATTACTCCATTCTCAGGACATAAAATATGCAAGGAGGCACTAATTTGTTATCAGGTTAATTATCTGTGTTTCAGAGTTGCTGAGGCGTTGACTTTTCCAGATTAATGAATTATGACTCTTATTTACTCGGGACGGGTTTTTTCTCCAGTGTCAGAGTGAAGCACAGAGCCGCTGATGGAGGAGGCAGGAAGCCCAAAATATGAAATTGTTTTAAAATGGAATTTTCCCCCTTTAACTCCAGCTCCTGAAGTGAACAGAGAACCGGCACGTCCTCCACGCAGCACGCTGGTGAAATGGAGTTCAGTCTTTTGTCAATTTTTAAAAAGACGATGCAGAGTTTCAGTTTTCCTCAACACTTAGGTTGACCATATTACAACGATGGGTTTCTAATGCCGCCATGAGCTGGATGTTGCCTTCATGCAAAGTTAGACAAACTGAAACCAAGAGGATTTAAGTATACACCAAAAAAGTGGAAGTTGTAGACTAAAGCTGACAAATCAGAAAAAGCAGATATGACATTTCCGTTGAGCCCATTTTACTTGTGTTGTGCCATTTGTTATAATTTCACGTCGTATTTCACGAGTTATTTTACCGGACATGTGAAAACCTTGATCTGCTGGTGGCGCAAAAGAAAATTTGAGCAAGTGGATAATTATGGATAATACAAAGCCAAAAAAAAAAAAAAAGAAGAAGCTTCTTAAGACACGAGCATCACATTATTCAAGCTTCTTATCTCCTGATGAGTTGATGCGACTGATGCTTTTCATTTTGATGACAAATAGGTGGTGAAAACTTGTTTTGTCTCGTGTTGCCTCTTGAAAAGAGCTGTGTGTGTTTTCTGTGCGGAGCTGGCAGATGTCGTAAACAACGAGATAAGAAGGTTAAAGGCTGAGAGAAGCTGCACAGTTGATTCTCGGTGGGTCTGACACCACGAGTGAACCTTTTCACATCATTCAACTCAAAAGTTAATATCACAAAATCAGTTTAGCCGCAACTTCTCCAGTTACCCAGGCGAGTGTTTGCAGTTTGAAAAACCCTGCTTTATGAAGGCTGATGTGACTTTTCCCCTGCTTGATGCTGAACTGGTAAATCTGTAATAAAAATAAAGAACCTTTTTATTTTAAAACAACTCTAATGCTCCGAGCAGAAGAACAATTCACGAGGAACCATGACACTGACAAAAGGGGGAAAACCAAACTCTAATGTGTTGGACTCTGTGTGGGACATAAACGAAATAAGTACGTGTCTCCGCAGCAACAAGTCACACTTACTGTTCGCGTTGCCCAGGTGGAAGTATCCATCGACCAGCGAGGCTCCGTTGTTGAAGTGCTGGGTCATGTGATCCAGCCAGTTGGCCTCCACGCCTTTGACGCCCTCGTCGCAGTTCTGAACCCGGAGCGGCACCTTGACGGTGTAGTACTTCACGTGGCCCTCTCGGACGGGCGGGTGGTTGTACAAAGCCAGCAGTTCCGCCCCTGAAGAGACGCGACAGGAAACAAATATCTTGTCATTGATTTCACTTTAATGGATGTGACAATACCGATGAAGCCTTGGTGGAAAAATCTCACTATTAACTGCATGGATACTGAACTGCTGTTACTGGCCACAGTGTTTACTGTGGGGTTGAACGAGAGATTTCCTTTAAATATGGAGACTTTTGAGAACTATCAGCAGCATTAAGCTGCAACATGATGCATTTTAAATTGTAAAAAACACTATTTTAAGACTTTGGAGAACTTATATTTCCTGTGATTAACCAAATATCCAAGCTGTGGCCAACGTGGTAATAATCAATTATTATTTTTTTTAACAAGATAAGAAACCAGGGAATCTCAGCCAACGTGTGGACCGTCAGCATGATTCTTGGCCAAAAAAGATTTGGCTGCAGGGTTTGTGGTCATCAGCCATAAACGGCAAACAACAATTTCTGCACTGCATTCTCGATATGAGACGTAATCTCAGAGGTGAAATTTATCCTTATAAAGATGGACGATATATAAAAGAAGCCGCCTGGTGCGGAGGACAGATCGGAAGGGTCCTCGGAAACAATTGTAAAAGCTGAGCTGGATAAATGGGGCAGCATTGACATAAAATTAGACATTCCACAAAAACAGTAGCTGAGCCCTTCCATCAAATCTGACCCCGAATTGTCAGTTTTAAATTTCATTTCTCAGTTTTTTTTCAAAGAATCCAGATGTGGGAGGTTTATTTATTTATTTCTTGCAGTGATTATACAGTAAATTTATGTAACGACGCCAGTGTATTATTTTTGATTCGGTCATTAAGTCTCTAAGACTCTTGTTATGTAACTTCCAGCCCAGTGGTATTCTTTATTTCTGGGACTTTCACAGAAGCAATTAAAGATGCATGTGCTGAGTTCTGCGTGTGTTCTGTATTACTTCCTTGTGTCCTGTGCAAGCAGGACACATTTGCATGTACGAAACCAGAATTAAACCTTCAGCATTATTATTGTATCACAAACTAAAGTTTTAACTTGGCAGGTGCAGAAAAGACGAGACATGAAAAAGTAATACGGGATGAGATTTGTGTTGCTCCGAGCTCCTCTCACAAACATGCAGGAAATCTTTTTCCAGGGCTGATGCCTGATTCCTCTTCCACAACAACAAACGTGAAGTGAATGAAGATCAATCTGAGCGCATTCACGCTTCACATCATCCTTATATTCCTTTTAATGTTTCGCAGAAGTGATGTAATGCAACGGTGCGGAACTTAAAAGGGATCGTTTCATTGTAACCGAGACAATTAATAGTATAACCTTGAATAATGCATTAAAAGCTTTCCAGCTAACCGTTGTTTACATCAAGCAGAAATATACATAATGCAGTGATGCAGCCTCACGAGAGGGAAACGGGCTTGGAAACGTGCCCACAGTACGTATGTCACTTCTCCTCGCTCGTATCCCACTAAATCAAAGTGGAAAGACTTTTATTTGTTGTGATGTGAGTGAGTGAGCGAAATATTTGCTCCGCTTGGCCATGAAACAAAAAAACAAAAAAACAAAACAAAACACGAGATGTGAGCGAGGTCTGAATCAGGCAGAAAGCAATTCAAATCGAGCCCGGTTCGATTTTCCCCTTTCTTTTCCAATGCAAATGTCGAACTGTCATACCCCGAGTGAACCAGATGGATGAGCAGAATGTGCAGCACAGCCACCCGCCTGTCCACCCACACACACACACACACACACACACACACACACACACACACACACACACTTTGACGAGGGGTGGCGGCAGGCGGTGGGAGTCATGGCTCAGTCGCTCTGGTTCCTCCAGCCGTCCATCCGTCCGGCAGACACCCAGGAAGAATGAATCATTTATACAACCATTTCTTGTCTGGCTCGTCTGAGTGATGTGACAGCTGGCCACCGAATTCCCTAAATCTTATCATTTGTCACTCTTGAGAAAAGTCGAATCACAGCTCGCGCACACACACACACTCTGCCCTCATCCTCCCGGCGTTGCCCATGTTGCACCGAGGACAATATGGCGAACAAATCTTGGACAGTGCACAGCAACGAAACAACTTCCCCGTTCGACACACAACCCGCCACAACAACACATTTCCTAACGGCGAATCGTGTCCGGGGGGATTCGTACGACATTAGCTGGTTTGCGGATTATGTGAACAAGACGGTGTATCACGAAGAATCAGTCCCGTGAATCATTTCTCGGGAATCGCAGTGATCTTCGGGCAGGTCATGAGGACGACCGCTTTTATTGTGTCATGTGTACTGATTTAGAAAAGCTTTGGGTGACAGCTCTAAATATCTGTAATCACAGTGTAATAAGATCAGTAAGAGCATTAAACCATATTTAACGCAGATTGTTCCAGCTCTACTGATTTCATAGACACTGGTCAGATTTATAAAAAAAACACAAAAACAGCCACAAGCAAGAAACGTGTCGCCCTGCCTCCGTTATCCTCACGATATTGGCTGTTTGTTCTGTGAGAGCTTTGAGTTTTTCATGCATTATATTTCATTACAGCCTAATTATTCTGCGACCGGGCCGCCGAGGCCATTGAAACGCAGGCAGAGGATACATGGCTTGTTTTTTAACCTTTACTTGTCTGCAAACATCTTTTCTGCAGCTCACTGGACACACTGCACAGAGGCAGTCGATGATTAAGTGCCTTGCCTAAAGGCAACTTCAGCAGGACCCAACAGGCAGGGAAACCGCTGAAATATAAGATAAGAAGACAGCCCTCCATTATTGATATGTCGAGGCATAAGAAATCTGTCCAGCTGATGTCAACCACACTGGACACATACTAAAATACTAGAGGATTGAAACTAGAGCCTTAATTCCATCTGGTATTTCAGAAATACTTTCCATAGAAATCTGTCTCCTGATGTGCAGATGAACCTGAAACGACTGCAAAGGGAATTTACCTCAATGTTACCTTCACATCTTTTGTTTCAGGGCGGGCTGTGATTGGCTCGTTGCATTGCTGCAGTGCATCATAAAGGAAAGAAACACAAGTGCCTCAGTGTAAACCAACAATGTCTTCTTTTCAAACAGGAGTCACAGTGAAGATTGTGGAATCGGATTTCATAAAAACAGATACTCCACCACAGGTTCAAGTGGCGCCAAATTTCACATGCTCATAAATATCGGTCCCCTGAACGCGAGGAACCCTGCGACGCTGGTTAGTTGAAGCTGCACGTGTCACGGTGATCCATCTGTGAGGGTCTGCATATTCTGGTTTATAAACAAACCAACAAACAGACAGACACAACCTCGGAGGTAATTAAAAAGGAACTGTTCTAATTAAAGTGACAATTTATTAATTACACACGTGAGACAATACAACACGAGCTGGCTTGTTGCACGTGGGGTTTGGAAAATGTGAGAGTGAAGAGATGGGAGTTAGTCAGATTTTTAAATGATCGAGGCGACTGTTGTTTAATGTTAACGTTGATGCACTTCACAGAATAATAGAGCATCGTGTAGCTGCTGCGTGTGTTCTGCCATATTTATATAGGCCTCAACCTCCTGGTGTAATTTTCTTCACAATGATAACAAGATCGCAGGCCTCACTGTCTCCTCCCTGTGTGAATCTGGACTCAAACCAGTTTCTTGTCCCTGTTTTAGAAGCTGCAACAATAAATCCTATAGGAAAACTATAAAAACTGCAGACGAGCTGATGTTTTATCATTAAGAAGAACATAAGGTTAAGTAATGCTGGGTTTTTCATGAGCTCCAAAGCAAAACAACGTCAATCTCTTGAATAAATCTCCCGCTCAAGGTCACCACTTGTGCCAGAGTCAATAAATGATATGCAAAGATTATGAAGAAACACATTTAATCGCTCCAGAGCCAAGATCTGGTGGAGAGGCGATAATTCACCATTAAAAAGGGAAATCAGACGGCAGCGTTATTCACGTTTTGGCTTTTATAGCAAGAACAGGATATTAAAGCCATAAAAGTCACCTTACTGCAAAATTCATTGTTCCTAATCAATGACTTTATTAATGTGAATGAGAATAATAATGAGAATTATTACAGGCCTGGAAGTAAAATCTTACTTAATGCCCTAATTAATTAATATTTATAGATCTACTTTCGTACTCACACACACACACACACAAGTGCACATGCAAGTTTTTTTTAACCTTATCACATGAATTCATTACATCAACAGATGACTGCTAAGCCTCGGAGAGTAAAGTCTGTGCAGCTGACCTGGTGCTTGTTGTCGATGGTGTCATTAGGACGTTTGAGGCAAAATGCATCAAAGGCTGATCTGACAGCAGCTCGGCCGTCCAACTGACGAGGTCGGCGGCTGACGTGATCTTGGCGATGTGGCGTTCCGGCGTGACATGTCATCATTTCAATGTCGGTTTCAATTTTTGTTCTCCTCTAATCTGAGGAGCTGGACACTGATCCCATCTGAGCAGAGATAACACTGATCTCCAGGATAAAACCGAGCAGCTGAAAAGACTCCTCTGGCACACCGACGAACGTTTCAGACTGATGTGTGTCGGGATTATTTCGAAGATAAACGTCTCTACTTCATGCTGTGCAGTTTGTTTAAAGCTTAAATGTTTGCTGTGGTGCGAAAAACTTCCTCCGGCGTCTGTTAACGTTGACTGTGCATCAATATCCCTTTTTATTAGATGTTAAGTTGAGCTTCTTGTGCATTTTCACTTTCAATTTCATCACATCGCCTCCAGAGCATCTACCCAACTTCATTTCCTACAAAATATCCTCCTGTACTTATACTCGATTAACAATATCATGGTTTATTTCTTCCGATCTTTATTCAAGATCGTTTTGAGAGCAAGACTTGATTCATTTCATGTTCAGATGCTTGCACTCGAAAAGCTTCAGCTCTGTTGTGGGTGTGTCAGTTGAGTGTGTAAATAACATTGTGCAAGGGGGGGGGGGGCGGGGCTGAGCGCATGAACTCTGTTAAAGTAACCGGAGCAAAGCAAAAACATACATATTGA